GGCATGAAACCAGATTATTCCTCTCCTGCTGCCTTGCAGGAGCTCTGCCAGGGCCAGGTTTTGGGCACCCTGAGGGGTGCTGCTCCCTCCAGCTCCTGCTCCAGCTTCTCCAGCCCTTTGCAGGTTTAATTTTTGGTGAAAGGAACCAGAAACGAAAAAACACTTTTCCCACTCCTGCTGCCTTGCAGGAGGCTCTGCTGGGCCCAATTCCTGGGGTACCACAAAATCAAGGGGGTGTTGCCCCTGCCCCTCCTCCAACTTCTCCAGCCCTCTATTCCTTGGCAATAAAAACTAGAGGTGTGAAAGCAGATCATTCCTCTCCTGCTGCCTTGCAGGAGCTCTTTTAGGGACAGGCTTTGTGTACCCCAGAATTCATGGGGTGCTGCTCCCCCAGCTCAACTTCTCCCCCAGCTCCCCCAGCCCTTTGCAGGTGTATTTGGGGGTGGTGGAAACCAGAGATAAGAAAACAGCTTTTCTCTCTCCTGCTGCCTTGCAGGAGGCTCTGCTGTGTCCAGTCTGGGGACATCCCAAAACTCAGGGGGTGCAGCCCCTGCCTCATCTCCTCTAGCCCTTTATTTCTTGGTGATTTAAACCAGAGACATGACAGCAGATCATTCCTCTCTTGCCTTGCAAGAGCTCTGTGAGAGTCAGTTTTTGGGCCTCACAAAAACTCACGGGGTGCTCTCCCTTCCCCAGCTTCTCCTCCAGGTCTGTTTGTGGGTGGTGGAAACCAGAGATAAGAAAACAGCTTTTCTCTCTCCTGCTGCCTCGCAGGAGCTCTGTGAGAGCCAGTTTTGGGGGACCCCCAGCCCCTGTGGGGTGATCTCCACCCCTTTATTCCTTCGCCATATAAACCTGACACACAAACCCAGATCATCCCTCTATTGCTGACTCACAGAATCTCTGTGAGAGAAGAGTTTTGGGCTCCCCCAGCCCCTGTGGGGTGATGTCCATTTCTTTCTCCCTTGGCCACATAAACCTGACACAAACCCACCTCTCCTGTTGCCTTGCAGGAGCTCTGCTACAGCCAGTTTTTCATCACCCCAAAACTCAGGGGGTGCTGCATCTCCCTTCAGCTTCTCCAGCCCTTTCTCCCTTGGCCATACAACCCTGACACACAAACCCAGATCATCCCTCTGTTGCTGCCTCATCGGAGCTCTGTGAGAGTGAGTTTTGGGCTCCCCCAGCCCCTGTGGGGTGATCTCCACCCCTTTCTCCCTCGGCCATATAAACCTGACACACAAACCCACATCACCCCTCCCCTGCTGCCCTGCAGGAGCTCTGCTACAGCCAGTTTTCCATCACCCCAAAACTCAGGGGGTGCCGCTGCAGCCCTTTCCCCCTCGGCCACACAAAGCTGACACACCAACCCGGATCATCCCCCTGCTGCTGCCTCACCGGAGCTCTGCCAGGGCGGGTTTTGGGGCGCTCCCCGTCCCCGTGGGGTGCTGTCCCTCCGCCCCCCACTCACTCTGTGGCTCCAGCCGGGTGAGGAGGGGCTGGGCCCCGCTCACGGCCGCCGCCGTCAGCGTCTTCACCCCCTTCTCGGCGGCATCGCAGACGGAGCGGACGTAGGGGTGGCTCTCCTTGGTGGAGCTGTAGGCGCTGGACACCATGTCGTAGGCAGAGCTCACCAGGGGCAGGTTGGCCACGCGCGTCCCGATGCTCTGGGGGGGCGTGGGAGGAGTCGGGGTGAGCGTGGGGGTGATGGACCCCCTAATCTCACAGGGAGCCCCCAAATCTCACAGGGGACGGGGCGTGCTCTGTGCCCCCACCCCCACTCCCCAGGGATGGTTCTGGGGGGCTCCCGGGGCTCTCCCAGCCTTGTGAAGGAACAAAGCAGAGTCCCGCCCCCAAACAGGACAGGACGTGTTTTGGGATGAACCCCCCCCCCCCCCGGCCCCCCCCCCCCCCCCCCTTTCCACCACGTACCTGCTGCTCCTCCGCCTTGGGCTGCGCCGTCGCGGGCTCGGGGGTGGCCATGGTGGGGCTGAGGGGGGACGGGACAGGACCGTGAGTGGGGTCAGAACCCCCTAACACTCCCCTCGAATCCCCTGGATGGGGGGACCCAAAGTTTCCCACTCCTTGGGCCGGGGCTGCTCCCACGCGGTTGGGAAAACCCGGGACAGGGGGGTCCTGGGGACCGGCACCGGGATCGCGATCTGGACCGGGACCAGGATCGGGATCGCAGTCGAAAGCGGAACAGGGACTGCGATCGAAAATAGGATCCCAATCGGGATCGGGATCGGGATCGGAACCGGGATGCGGATCGGGCTCACCGCTGGTGGCTCCGCTGGGTTCGGCTCCGCTGGGCTCGCCTGTGGCTCCGGGCTCGCCCCGCTCCTCCCCAGCGCCCTTTATACCCCCGGAGCCCGGCCCCGAGCGCATGTGACCGGAGCCGCCCAGCGGGGCCGGCCCGGGGCGCACCGGGAGCACCGACCGGCGGGGCCGCGACCGCGGAGAACCGGGGCTGGGATCCCCCTGGGACCGGGATTGGGATCCCCCCGGCACCGGGATTGGGATCCCCTGAGACCGGGATTAGGATCCCCCCGGGACCCGGCTGCAGCCCCCCGAGAACCGTCTGCACCGAGTCCCCCTCCCAGCACCGGGACTGGGCTGCACTGACCCCCCGGCCACGATCCCTCGGTCTGTGCTGCACTGACCCCCCCGGTACCGGATCCTCGGGAATGGGCAACACTTACCCCCCCCCCCCGGTACAGGATCCCCCGGGAATGGGCTGCACTGACCCCCCGGTACCGGATCCTCGGGAATGGGCTCCACTGATCCCCCGGTACCGGATCCTCGGGAATGGGCTGCACTGACACCCCCCCCCCGAGCCAGATCCTCTCCCCCAGGATCCCCCACACCAGCCTTCCCCACACCGAGCCCCCAGGACAAACCATGCCCTAACCCCCCCCAGCCCCTTTCCCCTCGTGGGGATCCCCCAGAACGGGGGTCCCACAGCTCCCCCCACCTGACCACTGGAGATGGTCCGACTGGTCCCAGTGGGTGCCGGTGGCAGGAGGGGGGACAGTCACGGAGCGCCCGGTGTCACCCACTGGGTGCTGTGACCGCGCTGTGCCTGTGATGTCAGGGACACCCCGGGGCTGTGGTGACAACGGGGACAAAGTTCAGTGCCACACAGCCGCGGGGCACAGTCCAGGTGGCACCCTGTGGCACCCTGTGGCACCCTCAGTCCCAGCACCTCACTGGCACCCACCCTGCTCTCCAGGCCCTCCGTTGGGACCCTCCCTGGGGGTGCCCCCACTCTGCCACCCGTGCCGAGCCCCCCTTGGGTGGGTCCAAGGCACCACAACAAGCTCTGAGTCATTTTTAAGGCCAAAAAAGTTGTTTTCTTCCTCTTTCAACTGGTTCGAAGCCGTTAAAAGACACGAAATCCCAACACTCCCAGGGCTTGGGGACGGGCACAGGCCACGTCCTCCACGTGCCACCGTCCCCAGACGAGTCCCTGGCAGCGACATCGGGGTCCCACGCTGGGTCACCGGGTCCATCCCATCAGGGTCGGGGTTCCCAGGTGTGGTCGCTCCCCCAGCCCCGCGGTGCCCGTGGCACTGAGGTGCCCGTGGCTCAGTGCTGGCTGCACACCCGTGGGGCAGCGGGCGCCTGGCGAGTCCCCCCGACGGTGACACAGCCCTCCCACTTGGCCATGTCCACCGGGGCGTCCTCGGGGTACTCCACCAGCGCCGGGGCGAAGGGTCCCACGAGCCAGGGCAGGGGCGTGTGCTGCCCCACATGCTCCAGCAGCTCCTCGATGCCCAGCTGTGCCCGCGCCACCCCGTCCCGGCTCTGTGCCAGCACCAGCTCTGACAGGTCGTGGAAGGAGCGGGCGCGGGCCAGGGCGGCCTGGACGCCCTCCACGCCGTGCCGGACGTGCCCCGCCGTCTCCTGGACGCTGCTGGGGAAGGCCCGGGCACCCGAGGCCAGGCGGGCACAGGCGCCGTGGAGCTGCTGCAGGAGCCCCCGGAGCATGGCCAGGGCCCGAGCCTCCACCTGCGGGGCACCGGCGGGCACGGGGGGCTCCAGAGGGGCTCCAGACCTTGGTGTCCTCCATGGGTATGGCTCCCCAACCCATACCATGGTGGCCTGGCCCCCCACCCCATACCGTGGTACCCTGGCCCCCCAACCCATCCTGTGGTGTCCTGGCCCCCTCAACCCATCCCATGGTGTCCTCCACGGGTACAGCTCCCCACCCCATCCCATCCCTTGGTCTCTTCCACGGGCATGGTCCCCATCCCACCCCTTGGTGTCCTCCACGGCCACGGCCCCTACCCCATATCCTCATGTCCTCCCCAGTCACAGCCCCTCACCCCACACCTGACTGTCTCCCAAGACCAGGGCACACCTTGGTGTCCTTCACGGGCATGGTTCCTCACCCCATCCCATACTTTGGTGTCCTCCACAGGCATAGCCCTCCCCACCCCATAACTCACTGTCTTCCACAGCCCCCCCCCCCATCCCTTGCTCCCCCCCACGGCAATGGGCCCCCCCCGCCCCCGGATGTCCTCCACAGCCGTGGCCCCCTCACCCCACACCTCACTTCCAAGGCCACAGGACACCACCCCACCCCATCCTCAGTGTCTTCCATGGGTATCCCTGCCCTGTACCTTGGTCTCCTCCACGGGCATGGCCCCCCACCCCAATAATTTGGTGTCCTCCTTGGGCATGGTCCCCTGTCCCATACCTTGACGTCCTCCATAGCCACAGCCCCCCACCCCATCCCCTGGTGTCCCCCGAGGTGCCCCCCATGCCGTACCTCACTCTCCTCCATGGGCACACCCTCCTGCCGGCTCCACTCCAGCCACAGCCGGTGGAGCCTCTCCCGGGTGCCGCTCCGGGGCCCGTCGGAGCCGCGCTGCCCCTCCTCGATCTGGGGGAGGTTCAGCTGGGTGGGAGCACACCCAGGGGGTGCCAGGGCTGGCCCGGGGCTGCCCTGGGGCTCCCCGTGTGCCACGTCCTTACCAGCTGGATGAGGTGGTGGAGCTGTGCCAGCAGGTGCTGGGCGCTGTGCCGTGCCCGCCGCAGTTCGCCCAGCGAGCGCCGCAGGGCCCGGTGCCGCAGCTCAGCCGACAGGGAGCCCACCCGGACAAAGCAGCTCTGCCACCGCCTCTGCCTCCCTGGCGGGGACACTGCCGGGCCCGGGGCCACCTCTGGGCCTGCTGTGGCCACCTCCGTCCCCGGGGCCACCTCAGTGCCTGCTGTGCCCACCTCCGTGCCCCGGGCCACCTCCGGGCCTGCTGTGGCTGCTGTGGGACCAGGGGTGAGGACGGTGTGGATGGACCATCCTGTGCCAGGCACTGGATCACCCCATACTGGGTACTGGATCACCCTGCACCAGGCACTGGATCACCCCATGCTGGGTACTGGATCCACCCCACACCAGGTCACCCCACACCAGGCACTGGATCACCCCATAGTGGGCATTGGATCACCCTGCACCAGGCACTGGATCACCCCATACCAGGCACTAGATCCACCCCATTCTGAGCACTGGATCACCAGGCACTGGATCCCCCCACACCAGGCACTGGATCCACCCCACAACAGGTCACCCTGCACCAGGCACGGGATCACCAGACACTGGATCACCAGGCACTGGATCCCCCCATGCCAGGCACTGGATCACCAGGCACTGGATCATCCCACACCAGGCACTGGATTACCCTGCACCAGGCACTGGATCACCCCATGCCGGGCACTGGATCACCAGGTACTGGATGACCCCACACCAGGCACTGGATGACCCCACACCAGGCACTGGGATGATCCCCTCGAGCTCCAGGGGCACAGGGGTGCCCACCCACGGGATGCTTGGCCACTTGGCCACCAGGCCACGTGGAGGTGTCACCACAAAGCCCGGTGGCCCCGGTGTCACCTCTGTGCCAGCTCTGCCCCCCTGTGCCAAGCTATAAATACCCGGCTGGGCAGCACAGGACTATATTTGCCTCAGATTTCCAGGTGAGAGTTCACCAGTGCCCTGGACGGGGACTGTCCCCTGCACAGTGTCACAGTGACCACACTGCCCTGGCACTGCCACGGGGGGCTGAGCACGGCCGAGGGGCACCACGGGGCAGGGATCCCAGGAGGGGTTTGCACCCCCAAATCCGGGAGACGGTGCCTGTGACGGCACGGTGGGCACTCACCCAGCTCCTCCTCCGTCCTGGGAAGGTACCTGCCCACCAGCTGCTCTGGTCTCCCCAGCACTGTGCCCACCCCCGTGACCAGCAGCCGCCCCACGCGGGTGCCCGTCACGGTGCTGAGCGTCCTGGCCACCGCCCCGCTCACCAGTTCCCTGGTCCCGGCCACCACCTGCGAGGGCACAGCACAGGGCACCCTCATCCTTCAGTGGCTCCAGCACCGGACCCCCCTGAGCCCCCCAGGGGGACGTTACCCTCTCGGGAGGCTGCTGCAGGATGGGCAGCTTCTCCTCCAGCTTGTCCAGCCCTTTGCAGGCCAATTCGTTGGCGCTGGAAACTGGGGACGTGAAAAGAGGTGGGTTAAACACCCCCCTGCCCTGAGCAGCAGCTCTGCTGGGGATGGGTTTTGGGGCAGCCCAAAACTCGTGGGGTGTTTTCCCTCCCGTCTTCTTGTCCAGTTTCTCCAGCCCTTCGTTCCTCGGTGATATAAACAGGATGTGAGATCAGATGATTCCTCTCCTGCTGCCTTGCAGGAGGCGT